TGGTCAAACCCCGTCAATTTCTCGGAGCTCTGGCATTTCTCAGATGAACACAATCCATTTCTTCCGCCGCTCTCTTCCAAACTCTGTAAGCCGATGCCAGCGGCGTACGCTTTACGACGCCGCCTCATCCATCATATGCGTCCGCGACAGGGGCCTCGACCACGCCGTGGAGAGGGAGAAGAACCTGAAGCCTGTGTGGAACGTCAAGAACCTCATCAAATCCGAGCCTTCAAAGTCTCTCCCTCTCAACATCATCACTCAATCCAAGGACTCTCTTGAAATCCCCACCCGGCCAATCGAGTTCCTCCGCAAATACCCTGCAATTTTTCAGGAATTTTTCCCTGGCGGGGTTAATATCCACCCCCACATCAAACTCACCCCCGAAGTACTCAACCTTGATTTGGAAGAGCAGCTGCTCTACCAGAGCGTCAGCTACCGGGAGAATTTGGCCGACCGGATCTTGAAGCTTTTGATGATTGGTAAATCTAATAAATTTCCACTCTCTGTTCTTGACACCCTTAGATGGGATCTGGGTTTGCCCCACGATTTCGTGAACATTATCGTTCCGGAGTTCCCGGACTATTTCCGGGTGAGTGGTGATGGGGCAACCTTAGAATTAGTTTGCTGGAGTCATGAGCTTGCTGTTTCCGAGATGGAAAAGAGTGCAAAGAAAGATGGAGGCCATGGACTTGATGTTGAATCCCCCGTCAACTTTTGTTTGAAGCATTCTACCGGGTTTGAGATGGATAAAAAGTACCAAAAATGGGTTAATGAGTGGCAAAAGTTGCCTTACCTTTCACCTTACAAGAGTGCAATGCACCTTGCTTCAAATTGTGACGAGTCGGATAAATGGGCAGTAGGTGTTTTGCACGAACTTCTTAGTTTGTGTGTTGGGAAAAAGGCAGAGAAGGATAACGTGCTTGTTCTCGGAGAGCATTTGGGTCTACGGTCTAGATTTAAAAGAGCACTGCTCCAGCATCCAGGGATATTTTACATTTCGAGTAAAAACAGGACACATACTGTGGTCTTGAAAGATGCATATAAAAGGGGTGTTTTGGTTGCCAAGTGCCCGATGATGGAAATGAGATTCAAATATGCTCGTTTAATGAATACTTTGAGCGACGATAAAAAAACAAGTTGTGCACATGGAAAAATTAGTATTGACTTGAAGGGAAGGAAACAAGAGAAGTTAGATGATGAGGATGGGGGAGAAGACGATAGAGATTTTAGTGATGATTATGAAGACGATGACCAGGAACAAGATGAAGAAGAAGCAACGATTACAGGAAGATCAAGTTTTAAAACAAAAGATGAAGATGATACATCAAGAAGCATAACTAGGAGATTAGCTCGTAGAGACTCCATTCGGAAAAAGGAATGTCCTCCGCGATCTAGGAGAAGAGTAGCAAATCATAACGTGCACGAGGAGGTAAAGGAAGCAAAGAATGGAAGGAGG